AATATCTTTATTAATGATTTTGAGGATGGGATTAAGTGCTCACTTAGAAATTTTGCAGATGACACCGAGTTGTGTGGAGCTGCAAATAAACTGGAGAGTAGAGCCAGGATCGAAAATGATCTTGCTAAACTGAAGAAGTAGTCTCAAAGCAGTTTGAAATTAACAGGCTGAAATTCTACAAGGACAAAGACAATCCAATACTATACATAAAATGGAGATATTAAATGCACAAATACAAATCAGGGAATGAGTAGCTGGATTGCAATACTACACAACAGGACCAGAGGAGTATTGTAGAGTACAAACTGAATGCTAATCAACAGTATGCTGTTGTTGGGGTGGAAGGGAAGAGAGCTGTCTTTCCCTTATTTCACCCATCAGAAATTAACATATATATAAGAAAGATTAATGCCAAAACAGTACTGAAGTTCAGCAATGGAGTTCAGAATAAATTACTGCCAGCAAGCCAGGCAATATAAAAGCTCAAATTTTCTTCCAAAAATTATTCACCGTTACATCACCAACATTAGCATCACCTACTCCCCAGAAAGCAAATAGCAAATGATTTATATAGCATAACTAGAAATACAGCCAACATGGAATGAACAAATTGCCATCTTTCTTGCTTAGAAAAATGTATGAAGAATTAAACTGCTCTGAAAATAACGGAAATTACTAAGGCCTTGGTCCTGCTGATCTTTGTGTAATGTGGAACAAGGAATGGAAAGCCGCTGTCTGCAGAGTAAACATATGCTTAAGCACATCTGAAATTAGATGTCAGACATATGTTCTGCAGCCCAATTACTGTCAAACAGGCAAAGCAGAAATGAATGGGGTGTATAGTATGGGTATGTCAGAAAGTCTTAAGAATGATACTCATCAAATTAATAAAAATATTACTCCTTTCCTTGGCCTTGTATCTGCCTCTGTGACATGGCAGTCGAACACTGAAGACTGGTGCTCTTATTAATGCAAAATCAGCTAAGAATGCATTTCCTCAATGTCCTTGAGCATGTACAGATGTTCTATGTAAAAGCAAGTCCTAAGTGCCAGATTTTCAAAAGAGATCAGGTACTTAAATAAGTGGCTAGACCATGTGGAGTGCCATCACCATAAAAAAAAAAAGTAAAGGACAAAAGTAAGGATAACCATGAAATATACTCACTCTCAAGTTCAATCTGCAAAAGGAAATACAATATATGAAGAAAAAAGCTAGCTTGCTATGCCCTCCTCTACAGTTCACATCTTCTAAGGACCCTGCTGCAAAAAAACCTTTAAGGAACATTTCACTTGCCTGAACCCATCTGACCTTTTCTTTATTACTATTGTCTGGCCCAGCATAGGCTTACTTTGTTTTTTCTGGGATCTGAAGGGTGGGATTTTTTCCCTTAAGGATTCCCTGCCATCTATCTTTCCCCCCTTGCTTTCTGGAGGCTTTGTTTCTAATTCTTTATTTTTGGATATTACCTTTTTAAATGCATTCAATATGTTTTCAGCTACTATTATAATATTCTGGTTGTCATATTTCCAAGCTGAATGTGTGTTTCCTAGGAGAAATACAATGAAAGTATAACTGTGATGGTTACAGCAATTAAATAGTAAAAAACAGTAGGTCTCTCCAAAAGTTTTATAGGCTCACAAATTTGAAAGTGGGTGAGGAACTAGGAAGATTTAAAGCTACTGGAGTCAATCATATCACGTGGTTTCTCAGATAGAATGGTTCAGCTTGGATGACTGATGCTAAAACTGAAATCAAACAGACAATTTTATTCTACCTGGCACCTGCCTGAAACCTGATTTCCTGTTTAGCTCAATGCTCTTTTCACACTTAACCAAGAGTTTAGAAAGGTGTATTAGCCACTGTCTACAATATCCTCCATTTTAAAAAGTATTTTCTTGAAAGAAGACTGAACATATGTAGCTTTATAGGAAAATTTTATTTTTTTTAATATTTGTTTGTTTATTTAGGTTTTGCTCTTCTACAAACTCCACAACCAAAGGGAGCTCTGGGTGATGCATATTTAAAAACAAGTAAGTGAAAGCAACAGAACTTTTCCCTCCTACCCTTCTCATGTCAGCAGGTAACATCAGTCTTGGGATTTTTGCAGTCTACGGGTGCTTGTACACGCCATGAGGGTTTAATTTGGTTTAGTTCTCCATAAAATGAAATGCTGGGTTTTTAAAAACCCACTGTTTCAATTTAGAGATAATTAAACTGAACTGAACTGAACCCCTGTGGTGTGTACACAAAGGTGGGGGCCTGATCCTTAGAGCTTACCCGTCTCCCTGGTGGCAGGAGGGAGTGAGCTGCCAGTGGGCTGAGTGGTCCCTGAGCTGCACTGGGGCCCAGTGCTTCCCTCCGCGGTGGCAGCGCCCCCCAGGTGGCACCCACCCCTTGAAACCCAATCTGGGAGCATGACAGCTGTGGAGGGAAGCACTGGCCACCCCACAGCCACACAGAGAAGCACCAGGCCCCTGTGCAGCTCAGGCAGGCAGGCTCCAGGAGAGAAAGAAAAAAAAAAGAGATCAGGCTACTTGCCGCTTTTTTTTGTTTGTTTGTTTCATCAGTCAAGCCTGCCTGCATGGGCTGCCACTGGGTCGCATAGCTCCTGAGCTGTGTGGGGCCGGGTGTTTCCCTCTGTGGCTGCGGCACCCCGGGGCCAGGTGCAGCAGGTAGCACTTCATTAGGTAGCAAACTAAAACACCTCGGAGGTGTTTTATCTTGCTACATTACAAAGTCATTTAGAGTGGAATATACCACTGAGTATCCAAACATCAGTGCCATTAAAGAGGTGCTAAAAGGCATTTAAGCTGCTTTAAAGACCAATTTTGTGGCGAGTACAGAGGCTCTAACACACCCTCTAAACCAGCAATTCTCACCCAGAGTGCTGCAACAAAGTGGGGTGCATTGCGATCTTTTCAAGGGTTCTACAGTGTACCATGCAACGTTAGCACTATTAAGTGTGCAAATATGATTCACAAGATAAACCCAGAGATTTCAAATAAGAATCTATGCTGTTAAAATCATTCTAATCTGTCGAGATGTTCCTGATTTCTTTGCAGCAGACAAAAATAAAATGAAAACTTAAGAGCTAGCATTTTCTGAGGGGTGCCTTCAGTTTAATGAGGGGTGCCTGGAGTCTGACAAGTTTGAGAACCACTGAACTAATCAAGCCCCACTCTCAACTTCTGCTTCATAGCCCTTCTCCAACATCCATACAAAGATAGGGGCTTTGTAGTATGTCCAGGAGGTCAACAAATAGACTATTTCAGATCAGAGTGGGGAAAGAGCTGCAAAAGAAAGAACTGCATGGAGAATGCTTACTATGCTTACTTTGCTGCAGAGGGCCTAGATATCTGCAGTGAGTGTAAGCACAGGCAGCTAGAGATCTCGGGGTAGGCGGAAGGTGGATTTGTGGCCTGTGGCAGGAATCCAGCTTACAAGTTCTGGCCTAGGGCAGCAAAATGATGCCAAATCCTTTAGAGAAAATCTAAAACGGGCCAAAAACAACACAGGTCTGTGTGGAATAAATAGACTATGAGGCATGGAGAGACTGTGTCCACTGCTCTTCCACTGACACAGAAGTACTGGCCTTGATGCAAAAGCATCCCACGCTGTACTTCCAGGTTGGGAGCAAGAAAGACAATTCCCAACTCTTTGACAATTCTGAGGGACAGAGGACTTTGCCACAAGATTCGCCAGGATTTGGCAGAAAACTATAAAATGTAAAATTAACCCTAACTGAAGGATCAACCCCCCACCCCACACACAAACCTGTAATTGCTGCATTACATCCTAGCAGGAAGAATAATGTGCTCCTTTCTCTGAAAGTACTAAGAGTTACTATGCTTGAACGTGAAACCCTCAGCTTTTCCAAGCCACATATAAGCCATTTTTTCTTGTCTCTCAAAAACCAATTCAAGAGAGGTTAGTAGAAACATTAATAATGAAACCGGTCAGTGCAAATTAATGTTTTTTAGTCACAGAGGTTCAAGTATATTAAAGTTTTTCTTCTTTGCTCAGAACATTAGTTTCTCCTATTGACAAAAAACTGAAGTCCAAGTACCTGCTTTCACTGCAGTTTTAGCTCAAGTTATCTACACAAGAATTGTGCTAGCTTAGCTTGAGGGGGGAGCAGTCAAGCAGTGTGACAACCTTAACAGAATGATCAGACTAGAATCACAAAGTATTTAACTTCCCATTGAATTACTACTCTACACTCCCAATTTATCCGCAGTTTAAATCATTGGTTAATATAAGCTAGAGATTTTTGTAAATGAATAAGAGTAAGCTTAGGAGCTACACATACTTCAGCCAAAATGACAACAAAAAAAAGCCTTACAGTTGTCCATTTTTGAGGTAGGTGTTAACTCTTCCCTAAACCAGCACACAGTGTTTTGTACTAAACATCACACACTAAAAAATACCCTTTAAGACACAAAGCACTCAAGGGCTGCATCCAGGCAAGCATGGCTGTGTAGTATGTGGTGCCAGACGCATCTGCAGCACCGCATACCACACATTCAGCTATTCTCCATGCTACAAGGGAGCAGCACAGGAGGGAAAGGCGGGCGGGCTGACCACCGGCAGTGTGTGCCGCTCAAAACCGGAGCACGGCTGGTCGGAGCTGCACTGCAGCTTCCAGCCAGGCTCTAAGTGGCAGTATCACTGCTGCTGGAGCACTGGGAGGCCTCCAGGACCCCAGGTCAGGTTGCTGGGGCCAGCCCAGTGCTGCCCTAGCTTCCCTTACCCCACCTGGGGTAACTTGGCATGCACCAAAGCATGCATGGCACAGGCGTTCCCCGGGGACAACTAGCAGAGACACAAGGTGCGCCATCACTAGTTGTTCCCAGGGAACCAAATATCCACACTTCTCTGGATGCAGCCCAGAATTCACAGGTACAACACCCTTTCACACTCCTTCTGCCATTATTTTAAAGTATGCAAAAACATGAAAGCAGTTATATAGCTGAAGAGGAGGAGATGACTTTGCTTTTACCTAAACACACTCGACCTGTTCCATCCAGTGTCAGGCCTTCAGGACACTCGCAGTGAAATGACCCTCTGCTGTTAACACACCGTCCATTAGGACAGACCCCCGGGAAGACATCACATTCATTTACATCTGTTGTGAAATAAAATACAAAGAGACATTTAAGGGAGTATACTTGTTTTTCAAAATATCCATGTCTTTACTGGTTTTATAAGACCTTACTGAGATTTTAAAGTTATGTGAAGGCAATCAGAAGATTTTCATGTATACAGTATTGGGATCTGAAGACTCTTCTGGGTTACATTTGGCTGTTAATAGCCCGAATCCTTATTTTGTATAGCGATAGCCAAGCCATATTCCTATTTCCAGGGATGATCCACTGCACTAAGTAGGGGTGAGTAAAGGCATGAGTATTCTACTTATATATAGAAAGAATCTTGAAGGACATGGATAGATCAGATTTCTAAGTTGCTCTGTGTCTTTATTATAGAGATTTCCTTGATTTCCTCCAATGTCTTAGAGGAGGGTGGTGCTTTCTAAATGCCTTCACTGCCACTGTGATGGCAATCATGACATGTTAATGTGCTTAAAACCTCCAATAACAAAAAAGCAAGAAATTCCCTTTATCCCATTTTTAGCAAAAAAGTGCAGGTATTGAATAAGAAAAAATAACTTCACCTTCACAGGTAACACCCTTAACTCTGGCAAATCCTCTTGGGCAAGCAGTGTCTGGAAACAAAACCAATACATCATTGATTTGAAATGATAGAGCTGCACAATATTATAGAATCATAACAGTTAATAAGGGGGAAAGGTACTTTCTTTTTGTATCTTTCCTCCACTGGATCCCTAATAGCTTGTGAGGTGCTGAGTGCTCTGACTCTAATCCAGGAATACACTGAAGCACATGTGTAGCTATAAGCTAGTAAGTAGTCTCAGGAATTAAGTCATGCTCTCTCTCAAGAGCTTTGCTGTGTTGCAGGTAGAATGCTCAGTCCCTTACAAGATCAAACCCTACTAGAGATAAGAGGTAATCATAACTTCTTTATTTTATACACATATCACATACATATACAAGCTACTTATGTTTCCTCTCTTCATCCTAGCTTCCTGGGAAAATTTTTAGTATACCTTCCTGCAGAAATAACAATGCCATCTTAGTAAGCAGTGCAACTACTGGAGGCTTCTGCACTGTAAATCAATGCCCGGTGAACTCAGACAAGCAAGTACTTGACTTTTTAGGGTTCTCAAAACATCTGAATGGAGGAAGCAGTGGGGAGAGAAAAACAGGTTCCATGAAGATGTAGGGTTTAGATACTCTTAGTTAGAACCAGAAATGTTGCAACCTTTCTCCCCAATCCCATCCAACCTTATAGTAAAAACAGAAAGATGTTAAGTGGAATGTATTAAGGTCCTATTTAAAAAGCAAGAGCTGGAACTGCCTAACACGGACTTAGTGATAAGTAGCATTATTAACTTGTTAGAGGAATTCTTCCTACCCTACAGCTAATAACAGCTGCTACCCTACAGCTAATAACAGCATAAGCGCAGATGTTTTGTGTTTTAAAACACCTGGGAACAGAGGACACTTTTACATGTACTCCGGGAGTGAGGGTGGCAGAGGATGGGGAGTGGGCTATGCTTTAAGAGCCACTCCAAATAAAGTGCTGCAGCATCTCGTGTATCTGTCTCCCCACTTCAAAATGGTGGCAGGGGAGCTTGAACTAAAGCTTGTTTGACAATTAATCAAGTATGCTTTGACTCACAATTACAGCACATCAGAGCAGCCCCCATGCTTGTGTGCAGGCACCCTGAGTGTCAGCAGCCTTCAAGATACGGTCCCCTTATAGACTTTTCACCCTTATTTGCCTTCTTCACTACCATCTCTCTGCCTACACGTCTCTCTGCCTACATCTGCACCACAGATGACAAGAATCTACCCTTGTAGAAATCCATTAAAAATATAATCAATTGGTGGGCTTTGTGGGTTATCAAGGGATTCACACAGTGAAGCACAGAAGTCATTAAGTCCTCATGTTATCACCTTTTTACTGAAAATACTCTGTTAAGAAAGATGCTTTGTTTAAGGAAGAATTACTTTATCTAATGACATTTCTGCCCTTCCCCCCTAAAACAGAGCACAGAACCATACCTAATTCACATCGTTCACAAGGGCTACCCCATGCAGCTCCTAACGTTGCACAGCATTCAGATTTCAGCGTAGCACCATTGATGTTCACTTCACAACGACCATCTTGAATGTTCAGCCAGCATGTTCCCTTAAGACTATCTGCAGCGGATTAGAAAAAGAACAGGGAGCTCTCAGGTATTTATGTTTATTGTGCTATTTTTAGTTAGGATTGTAGGTTTATTATTATTAGCACAAATATAACTTAAATAATCCAAAGAATGTTCATAAAAATTGCTATGAGGCCAAACTGCAAATTCTGCTGTGCTCATGTAAACTCGGAGTAGCTCCAGCCAAAGCAGGAGTTCTAAGCTGACTAGGATCAAAATGTACAGTATCTGGCATTAAGTTTTGTGAATGGGTCCACATGTTCATATGTATTCTTTCTACACTACTTCACAAACACTGTAACATATACTAACTAATTATTTCAAACTGCACTGACAGTGCTACAAAAACATAGCACTACAAGGATATGCTCTAGTTATAAAGTCACTGCAAAGGCAGGTTCTCCAGCCATGGGGCAATAGGAGACTCCTTTTCTTCACCCCTCCCCACCTCCCCTAAGGCTGAGAGGGTATCTCCAGCTGATACCTCATGGGCATGCCAGTGAGACATGGGGATTCTGCATTAGATAACAGGTGTGGAGGTTGCGGAGGCCAGCAATCATGCTTCTCTTGTGTTCTGTGGACTGCTGAGAGACATTGCTTCTGCCTGAGACAAAACATTCCTTGGAATTTATACTTGGAATAAATAGGTCAAATTGTTCCCCAATGTAATCTCATTGCCTTAGAATTACATCAGGAATTCATCTGTTCCATTAATTTTAGTTGATCATATCTAGACACACACACGTATAAATTGCCATCCAGTTTTAACTCATTGCTAAAATGCTAACACAGAGAAAATGTATACTTTATACCAAGAGTGAATTTGCTTCCTGCTTTATTAGTAATTCTCTATGAATAAAGCTAGCTATTACTGTGGCTAATTTTAATTTTATGCAGCCAACATGTCAAAGTAATACACTGCAAAATGATTTCAAGTATACGATTATCAGGTGATTTTCTTCACATCAGCTGTATTTGAATCTTCCTGCCAAAGTCTGTTAGTCTTATCTTATTTCAGACTATGAGTTAATTTCCTATATTTTCTATAGTCTTTCTTGTCCAGACAAAATTCGCAAAAGGGCAGCCACTGTGACTGGTGAGAAAGTTATTTATTACTGAGCATCAAAGCATTCTTCTGCCACTTGCATTTCTTTGATTCTGACCTGAATAAGAATATGTACATGCTACAGGCAGATGGCAACCTCCTGTTTTGTGTACTCTATGAGAATTTTACAAACTGTAACTCAGAATGGTATAACTGGTATTTCACAGAAAAAAGGAAAGTTTTTCTACTGCAGGTATAATTCCCCAAAAGAATATATCTTATCAGACAA